TTCAACCATGATGTAGTATGTGACAGAATTTCCTTCCTTTTTAGAGCCGCATAGTATCTCATTGTATGCATATGCCACATTTGGTTTATCCATTCATCCACCAGTGGACATTGGGATTCAAAACCAATAAACAATATGGTGTTAATATTTCTGTCTCCAAAACTCATGTTGAAATTTTATCCCCATTGTGGCAGTACTGAGAGGTTGGGCCTTTAAGAAATGATTGGGTCCTGAGGGCTATGCCCTCACAAATGGATTAATCTATTCATAGATTAATGAACTAATGGATTATTGAGTTACTATGGGACTGGAACTGATGACTTCATAAGAAGAAGAAGAGAGACTTGAGCTGGCACACTCAGCCCCCTCACAGGAATCTTTAGAGAGTTCCCAATGGCAAGAAGACTGTCACCAGATGTGGCCCCTCAACCTTGGACTTCCCAGAGTACATACCTGTAAAAAATGCATTCCTTTTCTTTGTAAATTACCCAGTTTTAGGTATTCTAGCTAAGCAACAGAAAACAAACTAAGACAGTTATTGTGCAAATATTTCGTTTACACCTTTAATTCTTTATGATATATTCCCACAGGAGGGAATGCTAGATCATATGATAGCTCTATTTTTATTTTTATTTTTTGAGGACCAGATTATGTTTTGATGTATAATTCATATCATAAAATTCACAATTTTAAAGTATAGAAGTCAGCGTTAACAGTGCTGTGCCCGTTACCACTATTTTATTTCAGAAGAGTTGCATCATCCTCCCAAATAAATCCATACCTTTTAGCAGTCACACCCTATTTCCTTTTTCCTATCCAATCAGAAGCAACCACTAATTTTCTTTCTATTTGAAGGATTTTCCCATTCTGGCTGTTTCATATAAACAGAGTAATATATGTTTCCAAGATTCATGCACATTGTAGCATGTATTAGTACTTCATTCTTTCTATTTTCAAATAATGTTCCATTGTATGGATAGACCACATTTTGTTTATTCATTCATAAGTTGATGGATATTTGGATTTTTTCTGTTTTGGCCATTGTAAATATTGCTGCTATTAACAATTTTGTACAAGAGTTTGTGTGAAAATATGTTTTCAATTCTCTTGAGTCTTAGTCTTGGAAGTGGAGTTGCTGGGTTATATGATAACTCTATGATTAACTTTTCAAGAAACTGGCAAATTGTTACACAGAGTGGCAGTACTATTTAATAGTTATACCAGCCATGAGTGAGGGTTCCACAACTCTTTACTTATTTAACCAAAGCTTATATTGACCATTATTTTATTATAACCATTCTAGTGTATGTGAACTGGCATCTCATTTTGATTTTGATTTGCATTTCTATGATTATCAGTGATGTTGAATATCTTTTCCAGGTGGCTGTTGCCTGTTTCTGTATCTTCATTAGGGACATATCTGTTAAGATCCTGTGTTAAAATAAAAATAATAAACATCTTTTTGTTTATTTATTTATTATTTCATGTTAATATGAGGGTACAAATGATGAGGCATTTGTTTGGTAAGGTCCCTGTTGTGGATGTGTACTGCACCCAGAAGTGTGCCATATACCCTTACATTGTGGCCATTACATGGGAACACATCAATCCCCCTCCTCCCACTTTCCCTCCCTTCTGCCCCCAACATGAATTTATTTGAGATTTTGTCTCTTGTGGGTATTATTTTGTCTACTAGATTCATATTAGTATTAAGTACACTGGATATTTGCTTTTCCATTCTTGTGATACTTTGCTGAAGAGAATATTCTCCAACTCTATCCAGGTTAATAAAAAGATGTAAAGTCTTCATGTCTTTATTTTATTTTATTTTTTATTAAATCATAACTGTGCACATTGATGGATTTATGGAGTTCAGTACACTGATTTGATATACAATGTGAAATGCTTACATTGAACTGATTATGATTAACATATCTATCACCCCGGTTACCTATTTGTTGTGGTAAGACAATCCTACTCTTTTCTTAATAGTTTTGAAATGTACCATTGCATTGTGCAGATTAGGTAAGGTCCCCCCAAATACCCTCATTCCTTACACCTCCCTCCTTCCCTTCCCTCTCTCTTCTCTTCTCTTCTACTTTCTGGACTATAGTTATGTTTTACTATTCCTATGAATGTGTAGGTGATCCTATATTGACTTCATAGTATTATTAAGTACATTGGATACTTTTTTTCCCCATTCTTGAGATACTTTACTAAGAAGAATATGTTCCAGTTCCATCCAGGTAAACAAAAAAGATGTGAAGTTTTAATCTTTTTATGCCTACATAGTATTCCATTGTATACATATACCACACAAGTTGTTAATCCATTCATGGGTCGATGGGCATTGGGCTGTTTCCATGTCTTGGAAATTATGAATTGGGCTACAATAAACATTCTGGTGCAAATGCCTTTGTTGTAAAATGATTTTTGATTATCTGGATATATACCTAGTAGAGGAATTGCAGGATCTACTGCAATCTACAGTAGGTCTACTTTTACTTCCTTGCGTATTCTCCAAACTTCTTTCCAAAAGGTTGTATTAACTTGCATTCCCACCAGCAGTGTAGAAGTGTTCCCTTTTCTCCACATCCATGTCAACATCTATAGTTTTGGGATTTTGTTATGTGGGCTAATCTTACTGGAGTTAGATGATATCTCAAAGTGGTTTTGATTTACATTTCTCTGATGATTAAAGATGATGAGCATTTTTTTCATGTGTCTGTAGGCCATGCACCTGTCTTCTTCACTGAAGCTTCTGCTCAAGTCTCTTGCCCACAATGAAATGGGATCATTTATTCTTTTCTTATTAATAAGTTTGAGTTCTCTCTGGATT